TATTTAATAAATATTTTACTCTAAGAATATTTAATTTGAATGCAACTTAATAAGAAAAAGTAAAAAATAAATAAATATTTTTTTTATATCATAACAATGAAAATGAAAATTACTAATAATAATTTGAAATAGGTTTTTATTTTAATTTTAGTTAAGTTATCAAAATGATGTGTCATCCACATCACCTCATTAAAGACACACAAACAAAAAAATCAAAGGGTTAACCGGTTTAAAAGGTAACAGATTACCCATTGCTATTATGGGTATATTTTTTAAAGTACAATGCCTTAATAAAAAATAATTTGAAAGTACATTGCTGTAATAAAGAAAAACAAAAGTAGAATGCTATAATAAGAAATTTTATGAAAGTAGGTTGTTATTTCATGCACTTAACCCTAAATTAAATTAATAAAAGGTTTGCTTTTCGTTTTGTGTATAGACCTATCTGGAACCGTGGGAATAATCCCTAATAAATCGGGATTGAGTTTGTTTTTCCAAATCGATTTATGATAATCTTTAATAAACTGATTTCATTATGAACATAAATATGTAATAGTTTGATTATAAGTTTTTTTTATCACATACGATAATTTGTTCAATAATCCTATCCAATCATAAGTGATAATTGAGTTTACCTTTTGTTGAAGCGTTTTTTTATTCCCTTTTAGTGTGTGTTTTTTTTTTATGTGTTCGTGTTTTTTTTATTCACTTTCATTTGAAGTGTTGATGATAAAATTTTGTGTTTTGATGATTGTATGCGTTATTTATGAAAGATGTTGGATTGTGGGATGTGGTGGACATAACGGTGACAACCACGACAAAGATTGTGTAGAGATTTTGTTGTAAAGAAATGGTGAAATTAGGGGTTGGCCTTGTCAAGAAGTCAAACGTAAGCATTGATGAAAAAGAGAAGACATGGACAAAGAGGTTTAAGAAGTCAAATGCACTATGGTATTTTCATTATTTAGGGTATTTCTATATTGTTTCCCTAATCTTTGAAAAGAAGGGCTTCCTGTTTTGGAGGCAGCCGAGAATTCTAATGCTCCACACATGGTACCAGAGCACCAAGGGTTCTGATTACACCTTTTCTAATCTTCTTCCGGAAATTCTTTTTCAATCTATCTCCTATTTCCATGGCGTCTCAAGGAGATCTTTTTAGTGGTCTTCATCCTCCCCTCTTATTTGCTTTCTCCATGCCTCATATCAACGTCTCAACTTCCAAGTCCATTGCGTCACTCATTACTACTTCGACGCCGTTGCAGACTCCTTCATTGTCCAATGGTTCAACACTCACTTCATCTCTTACTCCCTCAATATTGATGGCTTCAAATATTGCTTCACCTACAATGCAGCCGTTTTCCTTCTCCTATTTCTTAGGCTATCTCCAGGTATGAACACTTGACACAACATCCTCTATTAATGGCAACAACTCATTCAATTCCGTTATCTCGTCCTCCTCAATATTTTTATCACCATTTGACTGCCCCCAATGTCACAAATATCATCACGGTAAGCTATCTTTCCCAGGGGATAATATTACTAAGAAGACTCAATTCAATTTCTTGTTGA